TTGCATCGGCCGGGAATCGATCCCGGGCCGCCCGCGTGGCAGGCGAGCATTCTACCACTGAACCACCGATGCCTCGAAAGCGCTTTCGACAGGTGTGCATTTCAAGAAGCAAGCTGTAAAGCGTCGGAAATAGAACGTCTTTCATATGTCTAAAATAAATAGAACTATGATTGTCTCAGGGGTAAAACAGATGCAAAAAAAAACCCCACAAGCTTTGCATCGGCCGGGAATCGAACCCGGGCCGCCCGCGTGGCAGGCGAGCATTCTACCACTGAACCACCGATGCCTCGAAAGCGCATTCGACAGGTGTGCATTTCAAGAAGCAAGCTGTAAAGCGTTGGAAATAGAACGTCTTTCATATGTCTAAAATAAATAGAACTATGATTGTCTCAGGGGTAAAACAGATGCAAAAAAAACCCCACAAGCTTTGCATCGGCCGGGAATCGAACCCGGGCCGCCCGCGTGGCAGGCGAGCATTCTACCACTGAACCACCGATGCCTCGAAAGCGCATTCGACAGGTGTGCATTTCAAGAAGCAAGCTGTAAAGCGTCGGAAATAGAACGTCTTTCATATGTCTAAAATGGAATTGTCTCAGGGTAAAACAGATGCAAAAAAACCCCTGGCTTTGCATCGGCGAATCAGGCCAGGCCGCCCGCGTGGCAGGCAGCATTCTCCACTGAACCACCGATGCCTCGAAGCGCGTTCGACAGGTGTGGCATTTCAAGAAGCAAGCTGCAAAGCGTCTGAAATAGAACGTCTTTCAGATGTCTAAAATAAATAGAACTATGATTGTCTCGGGGTAAAACAGATGCAAAAAAACCCTGCTGCATCGGCGGTCGAACGGGCCGCCCGCGTGGCAGAGCGAGCATTCTACCACTGAACCACCGATGCCTCGAAAGCGTGTTCGACAGGTTGCATTTCAAGAAGCAAGCTGCAAAGCGTCTGAAATAGAACGTCTTTCAGATGTCTAAAATAAATAGAACTATGATTGTCTCAGGGTAAAACAGATGCAAAAAACTGCTGCATCGCGGGAATCGAACCGGGCCGCCGCGTGGCAGGCGAGCATTCTACCACTGAACCACGATCCTCAGCGTGTTCGACAGGTGTGCATTTCAAAAGAAGCTACCAGCGTCTGAAATGAGAACGTCTTTCAGATGTCTAAAATAAATAGAACTATGATTGTCTCAGGGTAAAACAGATGCAAAAACCCCCCACAAGCTTTGCATCGGCCGGAATCGAGCGGCCGCCCGCGTGGCAGGCGAGCATTCTACCACTGAACCACATGCCTCGAAAGCGTGTTCGACAGGTGTGCATTTCAAGAAGCAACTGCAAAGCGTCTGAAATAGAACGTCTTTCAGATGTCTAAAATAAAGAACTATGATTGTCTCAGGGTAAAACAGATGCAAAAAACCCACAAGCTTTGCATCGGCCGGGAATCAGACGGCCGCCCGCGTGGCAGGCGAGCATTCTACCACTGAACCACCGATGCCTCAGCGCGTTCGACAGGTGTGCATTCAAGAAGCAAGCTGTAAAGCGTCGGAAGTAGAACGTCTTTCAATGTCTAAAATAAATAGAACTATGATTGTCTCATGGGTAAAAGATGCAAAAAAAAACCACAAACTTTTGCATCGACCGGGAATCGAACCGGCCGCCCGCGGGGCAGGCGAGCATTCTACCACTGAACCACCGATGCCTCGAAAGCGCGTTCGACAGGTGTGCATTTCAGAAGCAAGCTGTAAGCGTCGGAAATAGAACGTCTTTCATGTCTAAAATAAATAGAACTATGATTGTCTCAGGGAAAACAGATGCAAAAAAAACCCACAAGCTTTGCATCGGCCGGAGATCGCGGGCCGCCCGCGTGGCGAGCGAGCATTCTACCACTGAACCACCGATGCCTCGAAAGCGCGTTCGACAGGTGTGCATTTCAAGAACAGCTGCAAAGCGTCGGAAATAGAACGTCTTTCATATGTCAAAATAAATAGAACTATGATTGTCTCAGGGTAAAAGATGCAAAAAACCCCACAAGCTTTGCATCGGCCGGGAATCGAGCCCGGGCCGCCCGCGTGGCAGGCGAGCATTCTACCACTGAACCACCGATGCCTCGAAACGTGTTCGACAGGTGTGCATTTCAGAAGCAAGCTGAAGTGTTGGAAATGGAACGTCTTTCATATGTGTAAAATAAAATAGAACTATGATTGTCTCATGGACGAAACAGATGCAAACGATGAAAAATCGCACACAGGCTGCATCAGCGGGGAATGGAAACAAGGCCATTAACATTAGAACGTGACCATGTGCACGGTGAGATCGGTGACACCACCTGGCGGCAAACAGCAGTTACGTTCCTATCTCGAAAACGGTTCAAGATACGGGAAAAAGTCCATTACGAAATTGTAGAGCGTCTCGATTTAGTACGAAAAGACACCTTGAGCGCATTAATGCTAAGAGCAAAACTTGTAAAATAGGCATTTGTTTGCCCGAGATTTCCAACACTCTTGTGTGAGAAAAGCGTTAGAAAGAAAACAGAACAATTTGTTATCAGCAGATACTTTTATTTTCGGTGTTCGAACTGTCATCGATCAAAACTACGTCATCGGGTCGACGTTTATTGTTTAAAAGATGATCTTTTCTCCTGTTGTCGAGAGTTGTTGCGTCACATGTTTTCAATATCTCGACCTTTCAAATGCGCATTTTACACGTTTTGTTTTTATCATTATTGAGCTCAAGGTAATCTTTTTGCACTAAATCGAAGACGCCCTACAATTTTGTAACTGACTTTTTCCCCTGTATTTTGTACCGTTTTCGAGTTGAGAACGCTAACTCTGTTGTTTGCCGCCAGGTGGCGCTGTAACAGATCTCACCGGGTAGTGCATGGTCACTTTATTATACCAAGACACCAAGTTTGTAGCAATAGTTGCCGGCGTTCTCAAGTTAATTTGTGGTAGAAGGACTTTATTGGACACCCTGTATAACATTAACATCTTACCGTGAGTTTTAAAGAGGGGCATGAACTGCGCAGTTTCATTTTTAGATAGGAAAATCACAGTGGAAGCTGTTCAAGATCCTATTCGATCGAAGACCCGCCGAGAATGTGGTTTACGACCGGACCAAATCTCACATATCATTTTAAGCTGAGGGATTTTTAGATGAAACAGGACATTTCTTCCCGTTGTTTTCAATGAATATATGATCTGTCGTTCTTTTGATTGCCCGTAGGGTTTACTATACGATTTTTGTAGTAACTATTCTTCCCTCACTAGTAATTAATCTAGCCATCAACACACATGGTGATGTAACAGGATGTGATCTTTTCCCTTCGCGCGAGCACAGTTCCCACGAGAAAAGAGCCGAGTACCTTTGACTTCAGCCGCAGACCGCAGACCAGCTGCACCTGGTGGTCATTAAGGAGACGTTCGCGAGAGTAATAGTTTCACGCAGAAATCGACCACAATGCATAGGAATCAATCTGTCAGAGAGCGCATTGAGTCGGCTTTGAGGAGATTAGTGGTACTCTTTCATGTCATACCTGTATAGCTCCTGTGGTGGGGAAACTCGAGAACCTTCCCCACGGTCGGAGTTCACCATTGGGAATCTGGAGGTTTAGCCGTTGGTCGATCAGGAAAGACGATTGTCCAGTGGGGTGAAAGGAAGGCGGAGCTCCACCCCTTGAGGTAGGGGATAAAAACGGAATGTTGGGTTGAAAAGAGAGCGCGGTGAAGAACCGATTTAGGAGTCTCGAACTTGGTTTTCAGACTCCGGAGCACAGAAAGAGCTGTGTGATCAGCTCGGATTTAAAGTCCCGAATTAATTCGGAATTAGACAACGATCTCTGAGAAATCGGCCTTATTCCGAATTCTCGGCTCATCGAATAGTGAACTGCGAGCACTCCTTGTAATCTCGTGTTTAGGCTATCACGCTAATAGGTGGAAGCTACCCATCCTGTCTTGAATTACTTCTTTTGTGCACTACGACTCCATTGAACTTTAACGTCATAGAACTGTGAACTCAATGATCGAACTTTGTATATAAATATTTAATCAAGATTGCTATGCAAGAATTGTTCTTTAAATTATAGCTGTGTAAATAAAAGTACTTAGGTCAACCTAAGCTTTGCATTTATTTGGTAAAACATGGCCAAGACAACACAAGGATATCCATAGGACTATTAGAAAAGGCTGAGATTAGCTACACGAGGGGAGAGAACTTTGATTTTTTTGTGGTAACATACTTATACCAATCCGGAAAAACTTTTGGTGGCATCGGCAATTTTGCTGGTCCGTAAAGGAAATGTTAAATACGTCGTGGTTAAACGCCCTGCGGTCTTGTGCTGTAGAATTTTAATATTTTTCTTATCTTATTTTGATATTTCCTTCCGTTCACCTTAATGATTCTGGTGCAAGTTCTAAGTGCGAATTCAATGCAAAAAAATCATGCCCCGTTCAGTACGTATTGCTCTAAATTCCACATCACTAATGAGTTTAAAGCGTGGAATGGCATGAAAGCTAGGGGCACTATTCGAGGAATAGTTGGGAGTTCTATCCTCTGAAACTGTCTTTTAACCATTATTATGTTGAAAATTCTTTGACCAGATGTCAGTTTAGGCGGGATATTCCATTCACCGGTGTTCAACTCCATTTACACTGAACACGGGAAGGCTGATGGAAATTGACGATTGTATCCAAATGGAATATGGAGAGGAAGGCCATAAGAAAGTGAACTTTGATTCTTCAAGGGGCGATAAATCACCCGTTGTGTGTAGGGGCAGCGTGGGGAGGAAAGATGCGTGAAGTCAGTCTAGGATTTATCTCTCAAACAGGGACTTCTCAAAACAAACTTTGGAGCTCTCCGGAATGACTGCCTAAATCTATAAACTGAATGAGTGGAATACAAACCAGTTGTTGGTGCAATGTGATTACCCTGAACCGCAGCTTAGGTCGCCTTGGCTGTTGGAAGCTTTCTCTGGCTTTCTTCCAAGCAGAAACACGGAAATGTTGATGGTTTCATAAAGTTCTCCGAGGAATACTAACCGTCCACTGTATATGGAGTTGATCAGACTTAATCTAGGTGCTCCAAGGTCTTCTAACCAAGAAAATCCGACACTTCCAATTTTACCATGCAGGGCTTTGACTCTTAGACGGTAAATATGCTATACCAAGTAGAAATTAGGAATTAACCATATATGAGGATGTTTAACAACTGTGG